TGAGCGAACGAGCACTTACCCTGCAAATTCTTGCAGGGAATAAGTGTTAAAGTGCGGCTGGAAAAGGAGGGTTTATACATATTTCAAGGGCAAGGAAGCGTGTGGTGCGAGCAAAGAATGTTTACACAATGTTGTCCGATTTTAAAGGATAGATCATCTGACCCGCGTATACCAATGAATTATAGAGGGGTTAGTCTTTTCTCATGTATAAGTAAACTTTTTAGTTCGTTATTGTGTAATCGACTGTCTGCTTACCTGAATCACAACAACTTACTAGCAGATGAGCAAAATGGTTTCAGGAAAGATAGATCATGTGAAGATCATGCCTTTGCACTCAATAGTATTGTTAAGAATAACACACAGGTATTCGCAGCATTTATTGATCTAAAAAAAATGTTTCCATTACATCGATAGAGATATTATGTTGTATAAGTTATTGATAAATGGGGAAAATTGAAAATTTTGTCGAGCGTTGAAAAACATATACTATCAAACAACTGCCTGTGTCAAAATCAATGACACGTATACTGACTGGTTCAACTGTCGTACTGGTGTAAGGCAAGGCGACAACATCTCGCCAACTTTATTCTCCATTTTTGCAAATGATATAGTAAGTGAAATTAATGATCTAGGAGTTGGAATAACGTACGAAGACAACCAGGTGTCTATTCTCCTATATGCAGACGACATTGCACCATCAGCACGTAATTTACAGGTCATGCTTGATTGTCTTGTTGATTGGTGCAAACGCTGGAGGGTAACTCTCAATGCAAAGAAATCAAAATGCCATAATGTAAAGGTTTTTCATTATACCTTCACTATTGGTAATAACGCTTTGGAGACAGTGGACAGATACAAATACCTTGGTGTTACATTCCATTACTCAGGCCAATTTCTACATAATGCTGAGGAGTTAGCGAAAGGGGCCAGCAGAGGGCTAGGTGGTATGATTATAATAGGATACATAGCTTGGAAGATATTGGATTTAATACTTTTGAACAACTGTTTAGATCATGTATCATGCCTATCACTAACTACAGCGCCTCTGTATGGGGGTAAAGGACATTCCAATCTATAGAGAATGTACAATTACGAGCTATTAGGTATTATATGGGAGTGCATAGATTCGCACCAATATTAGCACTTTATGGTGAGGTCGGTTGGATGCCTCTAGCTTACACTCAGTGGATGTGCATAATTAGATATTGGAATAGATTAAAAGCCATGGATGACAATAGACTTACCAAGAGACTGTTTGAGTACGACTACATATTATGTGAAAATTATTGGTGTAGCGATCTCAGAATAATCATGCAAAAGCTACAGTTAGAAGATATATACACAATGCGGTCAGCGGTAGACTTAGAGCTGGCACATGGGAAAATTATTGAATTGTACAAGGTGTTATGGAAAAACGACATCCTGAAAAAGCCAAAGCTAAGAACATATATACTCTTCAAAAACACCTTCAACTGTGAGTCATATGTTAGATTGTCCATGAGTAAGACATTAAGATCAGTACTGTGCCAATTTAGATGCGGAATACTACCACTAAGACTTGAGACTGGTCGATATGTAGGGGAAGAGACTTCTTCCCGCCTTTGAAAATTGTGTAACATGAACTTGATTGAGGATGAGGTCCACTTTGTCTTGATATGCCCTCTATACGTATTTTGTTTAATATGTTATTCATGAAAGAGATCATGAGAGATTATTTTAATTTGTCAAATCGTGATCTTATTCTTTTTATATTCAAATAATTGAATAATGTGGGTAAAATTGGTTTTCCACTTCTTATTTGCATTTTTCCTTTACTACAAGATTATTTTGGAACAGTTGCAGCATTAAAATTTAAAATAAATAGCAATCTGAAAGAAGAATTTTGCATTATTATTAAATGATGATAGGAATTTTGGATTAAGAGATTAGTTAAATACTGAGTAGTGATATTGTCAGTCAATTTATGTAGAATCTGATTATATGATTGAAAATACGATTGAATTCTTGGCTTTGCACTGGGCAGTTTCACATTTGTGCCAAGTGCCTTTTTTGGACTCCATTGTACAGTGGTAAAAGTTCTTCCACGAAAGTTTTTAATCAGACTCTGTATGGTGCTGCTATCTGCTGGTGCTATCGGCAACGAATTAGTTTGCTTTTGTTTCTGAGTGAATCTACCGTCTAAAATCACTATTTCTGAAAATATGTGCGTTTTGCTGAGGGTAGGCTAGGCAATACACGGCAAACTTCTTAGTACGTGTGTACAACAGAATTTTTTTAAAAACCCTAGCGATATTTGGTCAGGAGTTGCTTGAAACATAGTACAGCGTTGCTGTCTATCGGCATCAGGCCGTTAGTTTGTCAATTATCACGAATTACCCACGAATCGCGAACCCATTCATTTTCCTCTGGCAATCTAGCAACTCATTAAAAGTGCACGCATGTGCAGTGGGCTAAGCGTGACGTCATGCAGTGCATTTCTGGGGATGGCGTTTTATGTGGAGTAATTTACATAACGATTGAATAATTTGAGATAAAAAAATTATTTCCACGATCAGAAACGATATATGACGGACAACCATATCTTGTAAACACTTCTCTATAAAAAGCCTTAGCTATTTCTTCAGCTTTTTGAGTTTTCAAAGGTATTGCTTCAACAAAATTGGAAAAAGAGCATGTTACTAACAAAATATACTTATATCCTTCTTTTGATTTTATCAAAGGACCTAAAATGTCCATGTGCATTCTTTCAAACACACCTGCAATTGGTAAAGGGTTCAAAGGTGCTGGAGCATCTCTGCGCAATTGTTTAACCTTTTGACACACTTCACATGATTTTACATACTCCATGACGTCTTTATAAAGTGACTTTCCAAAATACTTATTCCTAATGGAGGCAAATGTTCTATCACAACCTTGATGACCAACGGCTGTTAATGTGTCGTGATATGCATGTAAAACATCACTTCTTAGTGTTACTGGAATTGCTAATTGTCTTATTATTCTCATCTTTTCTGGCATTTCCCGTGTACGAGGTTGGTACAGATGATACAAAACATCATCTATCATTACATATTGCTCTGATTCTGCAAAGATTTTACGCGCTTGTTTTAAGTCACTAGGTAAATCATTTTGTTCTAGGTAACGTATTATATCTTGAAACTCAGGGCATTCGCGTTGATCTTGTTTTAATTTCTCTTTATCGTTTACATTTGTAACATCAACACTGTTCATGTTATCATATTCACTTAAGCTATGTTCAATTCTTTTATCTGTTTGTTTTGGTAAGAAAAGTTTAGCTTGGGTCCGATGTTTATCTTGACACATAGCAATATGACCTTTTCTTAACTGACTATTGTTGTTAATTGTCTCAATGTTATTCGCTGAATCATATTCACGTCTAGATAATGCGTCAGCTGGATTTGTTTTTCAAGGTCTGTGAATTATTTCAAAATAATGACCATCTGTTAGTCCTGCCAGATGTATGTTTAACATTTTGTAACCAAGAAATCGCTTTATTATCTGTATACCACTTATACTCTTCAGTCTCCCCTCCTTGCCAGGGGCGCAACCTAGGCTGAGTACCTTTCCCACTAGCTCACTTACTAACTCATTGGCTGAGCGCGGCTGCTTTTCTTAAGTCTTACTGCCTTTTGCGACCCAACCGGCCGGTGACCCAGTCGATAGCGATTACTCAATCCCGTAGAGCTTACCAGCTCCCAGGGAGCAACCGACGGTCTGATCCCGGTCCCACTGCCATGGGTTATCGGAACTTTGACCGTTTTCACCAGCCTTGCCTGTTCACCACCGTGTTGGAACCGCATCAACA